GTTGGCTAGGGTTGATGCTAAATCTGCACGAGCAGCGGCTGTTCGGGGACTTTCAGTGCTTGAGTCAGCGATCTTCTGACTTTGTAACTTCAGAAGGGGACAAGCGGCTTTCCTTTTTTATTTATTTATTATTTTTTTTTTTTACAATGCACAGTGACAAAGATATAAATCTGTGGCAGCCCTGAAGCATAAATAGCCGTAATGCAGCTCGCTCGCTCTGCTGCCCATGACCCACGAGAGGCTTCACAGCTTCCTTTTCAGCTGTAAAATCGCCCCACTCGGCTGGGAACGGCTTTGGCACCAAGCAAACCGGCGCCTGCTCCCCATCCCTCACCGGCGTGCACATTTTTGGGTGGCCAGTCCTGGTGCTGGGGGGGGTTTCTGGGTGTGCAGACCATCAAGTCCCTGCTATATAAAGGCTGAATACCTCGCCTGGGGGATGCAGCACATGAAGCCCCCACCCCAAGAGGTGCAGGGATTGCCCTGGAAAAAAGGGGCTGTGGGTATGGGGAAATCTGGGGGAGAGGAGGAGGAGGAGGAGGAGTGCCAGAGAAAGCATGGGGATGATGTGGGAGTAGGAGGGAAAATAAACAGCCCACGTTGCACGGCTCAGCCTGGGTAAACAGCAAATATCTTCAGGGCTGAGCCCTTCTGGCCGGGCAGAGCAGGAAGGGGGCAGCCAGCTGGTGGTGCCGAGCCCTTGGAAGGAAGGAGCCGCACGGCGCTAATGAGTTAATACGGAGTTAATTTGCTGGGGCCTGCCCATGCGGGCAGCAGAGCTGCACAGCTCGGGAGGGAGCAGATCCTGCCGGTGCCAGCAGAAAGCAGCGAAAACGTCGAGTGGAGTGTTTACAGATTTTTCTTTCCTTTTTTTTTTTTTTTTTCTTTTTTTTTTTTTTTGAGATGCTCTGATTACGAGCCAGACTTTTAAAGACAGGAAGTGCCCAGCAGATGAGCATATCAATCACTGCTTTTATAAGCGTTTGAAGATTTTGCAAATCATTTTATTACTTTGATAGCAGGCTTCCTGCGAAGGCAATAAACCTGGCACCGAATCAGGCAGGAGGACGTGTGTGTGGTGTGAGGAGCCGTGCCCAGGGCTTGCTGGAGGAGCGGCAGCTCGGGTGCTGCAGGATGATTTCTGTTCCTCCCCTGTGGCCGTGCCAGGAACGGGCTGGCTGCGGGGAGGGTTTGTGGCTGGACCCCGGGGATCCAAAGCCCCATCCTGGCTCTGCTCCTCCAGGAGGGGAGAGCTGAGTGGGTCCTGTATAAAGGGAGGATGCATGGAATTAAACAAGCAGTGTAAGAGGAGCGAATACAAGCAGGATGCAAAGCGCAAGCAGGAACGTTTGGGGACTGAACGCGGTGCAGCAGGTCATGGAGAGCTGGCTCTGCCTCCTGCTTCTGCTGCTGGACTGTCTGTGTGTGTATCTGAGGATACAACAGGAGGCTGGGGCAGAAGCTCTCAGCAATGCTGTGTCCACATCCTTGAGCCTGCAGTGGGAATCGAGAGGCAGGGATATGTGAAACCACCCCACAGCTCCATGGGCTCAGTGCTGCGGAGTTCCAGCACTTCCCAGGGTAACCCAGCCCATAACTGCTCGTGGAAGCCCTCAGGAGATAAAATGCAAATGTTTGGAGAGTTTTGGAGCTGAACCCACCGTGTCCTCCCCTGGGAATGCTCCGTGCCCACCTGGCTCCCACTCATCCGGGTGGGACCTGATCCATCACCTCGGCCCCACGAGCATCAGGAAGGGGACACAGGAGCCTGGCTTCTGAGCAGCAGCCCGGCTTCTGAGCCCTGCTTCCAGAGCAGGCAGCAAGCAGGGGGTGAGGTGGGGCTGTGTTGGAGAGGTCTGCGCTTTACTTTCACAGATAAACTCTAAGCTGAGCTGCTGGTTTGGCATAGGAAATTCCACAGTTAGACTCAGGCTAGGCCAGCGAATAACACAGCTCTTTTACCACATATTTTCAAAGCATATTTTATTTTTGAAGACAGCGAATGTGTCTGGGAGTGGCGCTCAGTGATTTTTTTTCCTGCATTTTCCTGTGCAAGGAGATCGCGGGTCCCATCCGGCCGGGCAGGGCGGGGGCCACTGGCACAGCCGTCACCTCCCCGGGGACAGGGCGCCTGGCAGAGGCACCAGCCACGCACTGGAAATCTTTGCCCTGGCTGCAATTCATCTTAATTTGGGCAAAGCAAATAAGTTTAGCTGCTGACTTGGCGCAGCTGCTCCTGAGCTCCGAGGAGGAGCGATAAGGGAACAACAAACCCGACCCGGTGTTTGGAGAGCCCAGGACTCGGGGCCAGGCTCATCGGCCGTATTTATAGCCGGTGCAAAATTGATCCGTGCAGTTTCCAGACTGTGCAGCCAATTAAACCTCTCGCTCTCTCGCCGTTCCTGGTGCAATTACCATCTCGCGCCCTGTAACTTGCAGCTATGAGTAAGCCAAATTCAATTTTATATAGAGTGTGCAAAGTGAACTGTAACTGGGGAACAGTTTCGTGCGTGCCGTCCCTCCCCAGCCTGACAACCAGCTTTACTACCCAGCAGGGAATAGACTGATCGCTCATTTACGGCTGCAATCATCTCCCTGTTACAGCATTAGGAAGGAATGAGCACCAAAAGCCATTATAATTAAGATCTCTCTGGAGCTGACAGTAGAAATAGATGGCATGTGGAGCTGGAGCTCTGTGGCTCAGCTGTTTCTTTTCGAGCTGTCACTGGAAAATTACAGAGGCTGACAATCATATTTTTAACGCAGCGGTGCTAAGTAATATATATCCACCTTGCGCCGTGGAAACGCGGGGCGCTGCACCGTGAGTGCCGTGCTGGGCAGCGCCGCGGGCAGAGCCCTCGTGCTGGGGCTGAGCTGTCCCTGCTGCTTCCTTCGCCTCCGAAAACCCAACCCCAAACCACCTCTGTAGCATTCACCCTGTTTCTTGTGCCGTGCCAACGCGCAGCAGCATCTGGGGCTGGGTCAGTGCCGCACACAGCTGCTGTGGCACCAAAGTGCACCAGGTACGTGCCCTCATGCTTCACCTGGGAGGGAGCATCGGGGCCTGATCTCGTCCATCTCTGAATTTGGGCAGCTATTTGTCACCGGGGGAGCTGACAACCCGCAGCCGCTGGTGGCCTCTCCCCGCTGGGAAGACGTGCGCAGAGCCTGAAATATTCCGAGCAGCAGCCAAGGAGCAGCGCCCGGCCGTTCGGAGACGGCGCGCTGTGTCGAGACCTGTGGGTCTTCATACCTGAGAAGCAGTTGCTCAACAGAGATGCCTGGTTTGAGACAGCAGACGATGGTTTCCCAATTATTTCATAATAACGAGCGCCTCCTCCCCTGCCTCTGGACAGCAAACAGCACGCGGTGAGCCGCCTTTCCCCCGCAGCCACCGGTGCCTTTTGCAGGGCTGGGCTCTTGCGGGATGCTTTGTGAGAGTAATACGGTGGGAAAACACCCGCTGGTGCCTTCAGGGTGTCATTAACGTGGCAGAAAGGCAGCTCGGGTGCCGCTGAGCGCCGGTGCTGCTGCTTTTGGGAGGCTCTGCTCATGCGCCGTGGCGTCGCGCTCCTTCCTGCCGCAGGCGAGGGGTGTCCGCAGCATCCCCCCTGTTTTTCTCCTATTAGGCCGGCTGGGGAGATCCCCACCACTCAAACAGTTTTGCATTTCATTTCATCTCTGCCCATTGCCAAAGGCCTTTCATGTTCACATAGGAATTTGACGGCGAGGCCGGGTGGCTTATCGGGCTCGGGGCTGTCTGCACCCACCGGCGGGCGTTTGCCCGCGCCGCTCCTTCCCCGTTGCAGCAACTGAAGTCACACACTTGCTATCTACATTTTTCCCTGACAGCCGGCATTAAAGCTATTTCTATTAAATGTCTGATGCTGTGTCTTGTTGCAGAAGGCTGTGTTGGGTTACTTCTTGCCACATACCTCCGTGACAGCGTGCGTTATTTAAAGCAGCAGCCCTTAGCGAATTCTACTTCCTCGCCCCATCGTGTAATCCGCTGTAAACACGGGTGGGCTTGCTTTTCTCGTGTTTTTTAAAGATCCAGATTAAAATATGATTTGTAGGCAAGGGATGCATCAGCCCCTGGGTTGTTTTGACGTGTTGGTGTTTCCCAATCCTGCCCAGGCAGTGGGTGCTGGCGGGGCTCTGTGCCGCAGGGGGCAGAGGCTGCTGTGCCGTGACTCACGGCGCTCGCTCTCCCCTGCGGGCAGGCGGCGAGGTGATGGCAGGCAGGCAGAGGACACACGCATTAGCTGGCATACTGTTACGAGGATCCTCTTCTAATCACTTTTCAAATAACCCCGTCAAGGCACGCACCGCTCCGTGGCACAGCGAGTCCCTGGCTGTCACGAGCGAGCGAGCAGTGATTTTGCTAGGGGAAAGGCGGGCGGCATGGCACAGCTGCCTTCGTGCCCCAAAATGTCCAAGAGACAGGAGCTGACATCAAGTGCAGCTGCCTTGCAGGCTCCATGGGAGGCAAGCTGTGGGTCCAGCTCCATTTTTTGTTTGTTTGCATGTAAATCCAGCACCTTTGCCACGCAGCGTTGTGAGTCCCCGCACCCTGTTGCACTGAGCTCCCCCCTGGTTTAAATCCAGGTGGCTTCAGCCCGATGGTGTGTGAGCATTTGGGTCTGTGCAGATGGATCGGGGCAGACTTGGGATCCCTCTGCCTTTGGGTCTGCAGGGACCGACAAGGATTTTGGAGAACCTTCCTCCACCACAACGCGGAAAAGATCCAGAGCCAACGTGCCCTGTTCCCACTGGGTGACGTTGTGCAAAAGTTTCTTTCTAAGTTGCGAATGAATTATTGATGCAATTATTCATTCTCATTTAAATATCTATTTAATGGCATTTAAATAACAGTGTTCAGAATATGTCAACAGTTTACGCAATAATTTGGATTCTGATCTTTATACCTCTGTTTTCTCCCACACAAATAATTGAAACTCATCCATTCTGAGTGACAATTGTAGATAAGTATCACTTTCTTTTTTTTTTCTGTTGCACATGTGCGTTATCTAAATATATTAAATCACTTACTCAATTTCAATTTCATTTGAATGATTAATCAGTTACTCGGCTATAATTGTTTGTGTTAAGACATCTCAGATTAGAAAACAGAGCGGAGAGACAATTAGGAGAGCAAGGGCTCTGAAAATATTGCTGCCTGCGTCTGAGGGGTTGGGAAAGCGTCTTGGTGCTTCGTCAGGAGGCGCTGGTGCTGCTGGTAGCTTGGGGATGCTCCTCTGATGGTAACAGCTCTTCCCATCCAGAACTGCTGCGGGGGCATGGGATGAAAAGCCCCCCAGTGCTGGATTTGGTGTGGGCTCGTGCTTTGAGGACTTTTTCCATCTTGCCCATTTGTGCAATGGTTCGGGGGGAGCCTTGAGGAATTGAAGAGCCTCAAGTCGGAGCCACGGTGCCCCACAGGGCAAATACTGGGAACAAGGAGGTGCTGAAGGCCATCTGGGGGCTGCTTCTGGCTTCAGGAGCAGCATTCAGCTGGGTGTCCCCTGGGGCTGTGCACCCCCTTGGGAATGGGTTGGTGCCCGGCACTCTGGGATCTCGGTGTTTTGAGCTGGCTTCAGGCGCGCTGCACGTGAGCGGGGCTCAGGGCGCGATTCCCAGGTTGGGATTAAAGCCTCTGCTTGGAAACCACGCTCCTGCCTTTGATCTTGTTTCCCCACACGTGTAACTTTATGGCCTCTGCAGAAATGACTCCTGATGCACCTCTCCCCAACGTCTGCATCGCCTCCCTTAAGGTGGCGAGGCAAAACTGCGTTTTCATTTGGTGGTGGCAGGGATTTGGCAGGGTTTGGTGAGCGCTGGGCACAGAGAGGACCTCAAAAACCAGGGCTCTCCTGGTGAACAGGGTGGGGGCATTGCTGGGACCCCAGCAGGGAGCAGGGTGCTGCTGGGGGGCTGTGTCAACTTGCTGGATTTTAGGGTGGTTTCTATTCAAAAAGGTTTTTCTTGGTGACCGACGCATGGTCGGTGATTCACCAGCCCGTCCCTTCCACGCCGCCCCACCTTTCTTTATTTTATCCCAGGGGTGTATCCCAGATGTCAGCTTTCTGTAATCAGTTTTCCCAGGAAAATTTTTCTCATTCCTGAGGAGCCCAGGAAGGGGAATGCGGAGTTGATTTAGGAGGGGCCTCTCTTCCATAGCGCTAACGGGGAGCTGGCCCTGATTAGAGGGGGCTTCCCCACCAGCCCCCTGTGTCCGGCACACGGCAGGGCTGTGAATGAAGCCATCGGCATCCCGGCCACCCGCCTGTCCCATGGCCCACGGCTGGAGGAGCTGGAAAGCTGATTCAACCCCAGAAACGCACGGAGAGCAGGGTTATGTGCTCCTAATCCCCGTTTTCTGAGCCCATATTTGCTCCAGCCACTCTGTGCCGTGCACCGCAGCCGCCTCTCAGGCTGCAGCTTTCGGGGCATTAAATCACCTTATTTTATTATTATTATTTTTTTGCTGTTTTCTGGAGGGCTGCGAGGCTGGGAAGGGAACGAGCGCAGGAGTGCTGAAGTGCAGCTGGAGCGGGGATCCCATGTTCTATACATCCGGGCCGAGGCGCTGAGCGCAGCCAGATGTTTCTCCCCTCCCGCAGCTTGTCAGCGTGCGGCAGCAGTAGTCGTGTCGGAGGCAGGAGGAAGCAGACACACGTTGGGGTCACGGGGAGCCCCGGCAGATCCGCACCAAATTGATGGCTGCGCCTTCCCGTGGGGCTGCGCCGGGCACGGCGGGGGTCCTGCAGTTACCTGGATCCAGCCAGAGAACTGTGGGAGCTGCTAAAAAGGGAAAACACCGGAGAAATCCCTGTAAGAAAGGGGAATAAAGGGGCTCGGAGAGAGGGCTGAGCATGGTCTTGCTCTGCAGTGGAGCAGCACATTTTCCCCTGCAGCACCAGGGCCAAAACGAGTGGCTGCAGCAGGATGCGCCCATCCCTGCGGGCAGCCCATGTCCTTCCCCACACACCGCCTGCACCCCACACCTTTAATTACCCCCAGGGACTCTCTGCTTACCCCGAGCAGCTGCAGCTCCGCTTGTTTGGAGGTTTTTGGTCTGGTTCATGCTCCAGGTGGGAAGGAACCAGGCTCCTGTAACGTCACAGCTCATGCAGTGACAGCCCCACACGCAAACCTCATTGGCACCGTGGCAGTGACGACAAGGGTGGCTGACCCCAACTGGCATCCCCCAGGCCCTGGCTGGCCCCCCAGCCTGGCCAAGCCCCCCCCAACCCAGCAGGGCAGAGGCTTGCACAGTCTGAGCCTTTCCCATCACGGAGGAGTGGTTTGGCACTGCCCTGGGTGAAAATGCAGCGTAATGAGCCAAAAACGCGCGCTTACTGGCGCTGGCCGGGCCGGAGCTGGGCGGCAGCCAGGGGTTTGGCCCCGTCTCCAGCAGCAGGAGACCTTCCCTTAAACATGTCATTTAAGGAGAAAGGGGTTTGGACCGCCTGCACCGGGCTGTCAGACCTCGGACACCCGGCTGGGGAGCTGGGCTTGGGCTTCCCCCGGTGCCCCAGCGGTGCCGCGCCGCAGCTCCCGCGCGCCCTCGGACACGCAGCCCTGCCGGGGTTTATAATTTTATTTTTGGCTACAAGGAGGAATGCTGGAACTGCCCCAACACTTCTTGTTGTTAAAGTGCCTCAGCACTTTCCAGGCTCCTCTGGCTCAGTAGAAAAATCAGGTTTTTATTTTGCTGATCGTTACCAGAAGCAAAGCAATCCGGGTTTCTGCTCCGAGCAAAGCGGCTGCCGGGTGTTTGGGACTGCACGCTGCTGCTCCCACGCCTGCAGTGCTGCTGCTTTGGTGCAGTCACAGAAACAGAGGCATCGTGGTGAGAAGGGAGAGAGATTTGAAGGCAGCACCGAGACAAAACTCTGCGTATCTTCATGCAAAACCCATGCAGACCTTCAGGAGCAGCCCCAGCTCTGGGCGTGCAGCAGCCCCCATAGCAGAGAGCAACAGCAAAGCCCAGGGGGCTGCTGATGTAGAAGCAGGGATTGGGCTTTGCTCACTGTCACCTCGTCACGATGGTGGGACGGTTCTGCGTGCCCCCCCGGGCTGAAGATGTGCTGTGTCAGCTCCAACAGGCACACGGGGTGCCTGGGCCGTTAGAGCGGGGCGCGTGCCCGTGCGCTGGCACCCGTCCTGCGGCCGGACCACAGCATGATGTATGGAGCTTGTTTCTCAAACACCACGAGTTCGAAAAAAAAAAAAAGTCTCGGCTGTAATGAAAAACCAATATTTCCCACAATTCCCCCCGTAATGACTTTAGCACATTGATGAGCTCAGCCCAGGCTGGCTGGAAGCAGCACGCCCCGCGGTGCTGGGCTGCGCCGCAGAGGGGGTGCAGCGAGCGCCGACATCGGTGCCCCCAAATCCGTCTTTTTGCTCATGGGGATTTCGGCAGAGCAAGTGGTTCGCTGGCTGACGTGTACATTTCTTGAAGTCCTACAGCATCCTTCGGTATTACAACGCAAAAAGCCAACGCCATTTATCACCACCCAGTTCAGCAAAAAGGAGCAACACGCTGAAGGCTTCTCCAGCAAAGTCACCCCCGATAAATTTGCCCCATTGTTCCCAAACCAGCTGAAGCAGAGGATGTGTGCAGCTTGTAAAAAGAGGCAGCTTTTGTTTTGCTTCTGGATAGCTGCTCCAGCCCATTCCAAGCCACTAGTTCGCTTTTTTTTTTTTTTTTTTTTGTAAGGGGAAAAGTATCTTTCATTTGTCCTAATTTAATGCTGTTAATGAGATTGATGTCAGAGGCTGCCCAGAACATCAGCAAGAAGTGGGGGTCGAGCTTCCTCCATTAACAGCAGCATCCAGCCTGTGGCGGTGACCCGGTGTATTTGGGGGCAGGCACTTTGGCAGCAGCAGAACATTTTACCAGCTCTGTTCTCACCCAGTTTTCATTTTCTTTCTTATTTTTGCAGCTCTGCTCCATTAATCTTCTTCCTGGCACCAGTTTTCTGACGCCTCACTATGTAATGTGTTCAGCAGTGCTATGTGTTTGCTTTTTATTTCTTCTTCTCCCACAGGTCTCGTTGGCTTTATAACAAGGCACAAAATGACCTGCTGATAGGAAGGATGCGCAGCTGGATGCCCGGGCTCCACGCGCTCGCCTGCGCTTCTGGAGCTGCTGCTGCTGCCCCTGGGTGCCCACAGCAGCGGGGCCAACCCTGCTCCCGGTGCAGGAGCCAAGCCACGAGCCATAACAGCAAGGCAGAGGACCTCCCCTTATGGCTCTAGACCTTCTTGGGCTCCTGACACCCAGCACGAGTGCAGGAAAAGAGCACGGTGCAGAAAAATTACCCCTGGCACAGCGCATGGCACCACCATCACCTCCTCACCTCCATCTCATCTCTTTCCCAGCACTCAGCCCAACCACAGCAGGCATTCAGGAGGTGCTCAGCGTACGGGGACCCCTGTGCGAGGAGACAACGGGTGCTGTGGTGCGGCTGGGTGCTGATCTAGGAGCTGCCAGGGGGCACCCAGCCGCCTCTCCCCGCACAGCACCCGGCAGCGGGCGCTCCCGACCCAGGGTGCTCGGTGAAACGTCAGCAAAAATAAATCTGGCTAATCCCGAGGAATGGCCGGGCGCAGCAGCAACCCTGCAGTTCCAGGGAGATTAAAATAAAGTCTAGCATTACACCGCTTGGAAGAGCCGAGATTTACTTGGAAACTGAATCACATTAATTAGCATTCTGCTAATGGCTGTTTTGTATAAATATAGTGTGCCTTAATACCAACACGAGTCGCAGGTTGACATATTTAGATCACTGATATCAAAGTCATTAACGCCTCTCCGTGGTAAACCTATTCTCAGTTAGGGCTGCAAATGGGATTCTCCTGAGCCAATCAATCTTACTAAAGCCTGAGCAGAGCCTGTTGATCTTTAGCCACTGAATGGATACAGCTTCCCAGAAATGTGCTTGCATCTGTCAAAATTATAAGCAGCTGGCAGCCGCAGACAAAGGTCATATTTGCTGCTAGTGTGAAAATAGGATCCCAGGACAAGAAATGCTATTTAGCAGCATATCAGTTCTGGACGTGCTATTAATGTTGCAGCACAATACGAGCGTGTTGTGTGTGTCCGGCCGTGCAGGCATTTCTACACATGCCAATTATGTATTTATACGCAAAATTTCTCACATATACCCTGTGGTCCTGGATCTCGTCCAGGGCTTATTAAAACTCAGTGACATCAAAGGATGGGAAAGGTCTGCCCGAGTTTAGGAACTTGGAGAGCTTAACAATTATTTTGCAATAATTCCCTCTTAATTTATCGTCCGCTATTGCCTTGATTAAAAGCTCCCCTGCTTGATGGCGGCTCTGAAGGTACCGGCTGCCGTTAAAGGCTGATTTGGGGCAATTTCAGCATGGCAAGAAAATGGGGCTGCTCCCGTTCCCGAGAGCCCTCTCCACACATTTGCTGTTTAATTTCTGTTGTTCCTGCCCCCAGCCCCGCTGCCTTGGGCTCCTCGTGCCCTGACCCACCCGGGCCCGACCTGGCGTTCACCGTGACGCCGGGCGCGCGGTCTCCTCTGGGGTTATAATTAGATCACAGCAGCAGGGATAAAGCCACGTAAGCCCGACTTCTGAAGCGTGCAAATGCCTGTCTCCTCCAGGAAACCTTGCTCGGCGCTGTAATTTAAGGCCACGCGTTTTAGCTTGGGAGCTTTTAAATCATAAATCACAACGTTACCGAAATCGGGGCGTCACGGTGCTGGCTGCCAGCAGCTCCCATGCTGGGGATGGCGAGAGGATGCTCCTGAGCCCCACAAATTGAGGTGCAATTGCTCGGGGGCCAAAAAGGCTGGGCTGGCATCCCTGGGTGCGCAGGGGAGAAATCCGTGCCATTTCTCTGCCTCTTTTCTTCTCCCTTTTCTTATGCAGGGACATTTTTGCCTTGTAGCTCACAGCTGCAGAACGATTCTCAGCCCTTTGGGTTGAGGAAAATCCCTGTGATCCCCTTCCCCTGCACAAAACACCTCTCCTGGTGTGCTGCAGATGGAGCAGAGCCCAGGGCCAGGACCTGCGCCCCCGCTCAGCTGCAGACAAGGTGCCCCAAACCTGTACGTGTCCGCGGGGGGAGCGCTGCAATTTAAGTTTATCTTATAAAAGCAAATATTCCCCTTTTGCTCAGCCCTTTAAGCAGAAACATCACGGAAATTGTTTGAAAATTGCTCCTGCAGAGCCCCTGAGCACTGCCATGTTTGCAGGAGAGGTGCTGAGCCCTCGGCCATGGCCGGCACCTGCCCGCTGCTCGCAGGCACGGGGCAAATCCCACGAAGCTCACCAAGGAGCAGGCAGTGCAGTGGGAAAAATGCTAGGCAACAAGTTGAAATGGCCTGACAATAGCGAGTGCTTGTTTTGACAGCGGTTTTTTTTATTATTATTATTTTTTTTTGGTTGGTTGGGAGGTTATAATAAAATCCGCGCTTGGCTGATGGATTTTAAATAACACTTATCTCATGGATCGAGCCAGACGGTATGTAAGGCTGAGGTCCGCGTGCAGCAAGTCTGTCCTTTAATTATTCCGACCTCCTATTTTGGGTATTCGTGAGCCAGCCGCTCCCCCTGAAGCCCTGCAGGGGCTGCGGATCGCAAACAGAAGTTTCCAGAATGTGACCAACCAATAAAGGTATTAAACAAAAGTGAGCGCGAAGCTGTATGAAAAGCTTTGGAGTGGACAGGGTGTGGGAAATACGTCTGATGTGAAAGAACGTAAATATATACAATTATTTTAATTCCAAAAAGAGACATGGAGGCTGGGGGAATACCTGTGAGTATAAAAATGGCTGGCAGAATTCGTTTTGTCATCACCGAGGCAGCTGCAGAGAGCTTTAGACACAATCCCCCCACCAAAAAAAAATAAAAAAAGGCAACCAGAGGAGAAGATTATCAGAAGAGGAAAGGCTTTAATAAACTGCGAAGCCCTGCTCACCCACTGAGAAGTGAAGCTTAATTAGAAGATTAAGCCGTGTGCTGGCTGCGCGTGCGGCCGTGCTGGCAGCAGAGGGGGGCTCCGGCTCCCCGGGTGCGCAGCCCCCCCATGTCCCCACCATGGGGACTCCTCGGAGCCTCTCACCCCGTTGTGTTTGGGATGACTCCATCCATCCTAAAAATGCCCACGAGCGCCGTGTGAGGCAGAGCTGGCAATGGGGCCAAAGAGATGGAGCTGGGGGTGTCCCACCTCCATCCCCTATGCTGCGCCCACCTTAGGGGCATCACCAGGCTCTCCCCGCACGCCTCAGCTCTGCCCCTTCCCCCTGTGCTTGTCCCGGCTCCCTCTGCATCGTCTGCACCATCAGCTGCCGTCGGGACGCCTGCTTATTTTACCCAAGTGCCTGCAAAATGGGAAAGCTGTCTTTAGAAGGATATAAATCGGGACAATTCATATGTCTTTATTGCTCAGGCTCCGCTGACTGCTTGGAGGGCAAAAGCGGCGCATCCCTGAGAGTTTTTGAAATGCTGCCGCGGCGCGCTGCTTTATCGGCACGCCAGTCACAATATAGATTTCAATTATGTCGAGCAACATGATGCAGAATTTATGCCTCCAATTTCCCCGTTTAGTGGTGAATCAGGCTGGCTTGTATTGCCAGCTCATCTTTATGCCAGAGTTGTTAATGTGCTCTGAACCCTCTTTAACTCCGTACGCTGAGGTCCCCGCTCAGCTTTTCTCTCCTAACAGCAAATCAGCCAGACGTCAGGAATGCTGAGAGCTGAAGCCAGCGAGCTCACGTACTGCCAGCACCTGGGGCACGTGTAGGGCAGCCCGGCAGGACCAGAGGTGTGTGCCCCATGGTGTGCCCGAGCCCCCTCGCGCTGTCCCCATGGGCTGCACATGGCCACGGGTGCCTCACCCAGGGGAGATGCTGGGATTTCACCTGCTTGGGAAAAAACCTGAGCTCTGCAGACATCACATCTCGGTCCCTCTGGAAAAACGTGCTTTTAAACACAGTCTTCCAAGATTCGGTCTTGTCAAAGAGCCAGCTCAGGCTTTTTTTATTTTGTGTGAAAATAAAGCATGTTTGCATCCATTCGGGAGACCCGTGGGCAGGAGGAGCAGCAGAGGCAGCCGTCAGGAGCGGAGCACGTCCCAGGCAGGTCGCTCCGTGCTGCTCCCCAGGGAGCCCCCAGCGAGGTGCTGTCCCATCGCCAGCGTGGGTGCTTTTTGCACCGAGCATTTCCCAGGTTGCAGCCTTACCCCGTGACTCATGTGCTCGCTTCTTGCCGAAGCTGCCGAGCGGCTCCTGCCGCGCCCAGGGTGCCTCCTGCTCACATACCACTGCCCTCCGCACCCAGCGCCCCACGAACCATCCCCTGAGGGTCACACCTCCCGGCACCCTGCTCCGTTGGGTGCTACGAGCTGAAGTTATGTTCCCGCAGGGCTTTATCTGACGTCCTTTTATCTGACCTCCGTGCGCAGAACTTCTGTAGGGAGGCGCAGCGTGGCACCGTGGTGCAGCTCCCACTGCCCAGCCTTCATCCAGGGCTCTCAGGGTGCCTGAAGCAAGAATTAACCCACTGCTAATGCACAGCCCCAGGATGGGCTCATGATGGGGTCCATTTAGGGTCCCCAAAAGTGACCAGGGGTGCTGGGGCAGGCCATGCTGCAGCATCTCAGAGGTGGGGCAGGATGGGTGCCACCGCTGTGGTGCAGGGTGCGCTGCCACACTTCTGGCAACATGCTGGGTGGTTTTCCACCCAGCCACGGATTTGGGGTCAGTAAAGGAGAGCAGCAGGCAGCAGGTACACGAGTGATGGGGTGGCAGCACCCCCACACGCTGGTGACCCCAGGTGCTGAGCCGTGCCCCAAGGATGTGGGCACGGAGACACCGCCGCGCACCCCAAAGGGCAAAGTGCCCCTGGCGCACCCGCACACACGCGGCTTGCGAAATCTAATAACAACCGGTTTAAAAACATACTAAAAACAGAAAATTTATGTAGCATGACCCAAATTGAATTATACATTACAGCACTATAATTGATTTTTTAGAAGAGAGATTAAATTTATTTTATGCCTCACTAACTAACAGCTAGATTTACCTAATTGCTTAGAGTGCAGAGTTAGTATGATTCATTAAACCCCATACATGCCTGGGTACATTACACTGTGACTAAAGCTTCCCTGCTTCGAGCAATTAAAGTGGAGAAACTTGGGGCCTCATAAGTAATTGAATATAACAATACAGCTTGGAGTTGCTGTGGATGTCTTATTAAGTTCTTCGAGCAAAAAACACAAGTTCCCTCCGCTCTCCAGTGAATCATTTCGTGAAATTTTCTATGACTGGCGTTGTTTTCTCCTATTGCCAAAAAAAAATTGTATCTATGAGACAGATTTCATGCCTTGCTTCACAGTTTAATTTTATCAATCATAACATTTAAAAAAAAATTGACAGCACTGAGTAGACATCCCTGCTATTCCAAGGAGAGAAATTTTGGGTATAATCTAGTAACATTTGGTAATTATATACACATTGCAAAAATAAAGGTAGCAATTTAGTAAAACAGGAGTGGAGAGAAATTATCATTTTAGCTGGCAGGAATAAATTAGAATTGTTTGGCACAGTCTAATAAAATCCCACAGACGAACACATTGTGCCTGGAACAAAACAAAGCGAGCGCCGGCGGCTGGGGATGGTCGCAGGGGGAGGCTGCAGCCTTGCTTGGGTTTCTCCTC